ATTGGACGGGAATTACAGGACTGATCTTTCTAATCTCCATAAACAAGAAATAATACAGTAGTGACTGCAGGCTGAAGGAAAGTAGTGGAGTAACAGTACAGATACAGCACTAAACATGTACTCAAGGAAAAGTACACATGTTTAAAACTAGTAAATTACAATTCCTGAGGATAACTACTCAATTACAGTAACTGGAGTATTTGTATATAGTTACTTTACACCACTGTTTGTGTCTGGGCTTGTGTTTTAAATGTTTCTGTCAACGTTTTCAAACAATTATATTTCATTTACACAAGTCATACAAGTGCCAATTTCACATCTGTCACATCCATAACAGAGCATACATGCAAAAAGTTTAAAATAAACAGATCCAACTTTTATCCTTTGTATTAGTAGCTATTATTTATTTTGGGTTGTGCAGTTTAATTCACACTATATGCTTTATACTGTCAACTCGCATACTTTTTTGGTCACATCAATAACGCATGTTTAAAGAGTCCACTCTTAGCTGATGATGGATTATAAAGTGTGTTTGGCATGCTGTCCCGGGAGAGAGCCCTGAGCTCATAAGATCCCGAGCCTGGGGCTCCCCCCCATTTGCAGGGCGAGAGGGGAGTTTGAGCTCAGGTAGATGTGGAGAACTCCCCTGCTGTACTACTACTAATGAACAGAGAGTGATCGCTCTTAACAGATAACTACTGACTAGCAGCATGTCTGTGGTGTTGATTAGTCAATTAACTTAAGCTGCATGTTTTTGGATGGTGGGAGGAACCCGGAGGCAACCCATGTGAGCACGGGGAGAACGTGCAAACACTGCACAAAAACATCAGCTGACTTGATAAGGACTAGAACCAGTGAAGTCTTGCTGTGAGGCAACAGTGCTAACCACTGGGCCACCCATCTAGGAAAGGAGGAGGAGTAGGGCTGGAAGGGAGATTCTTCAAAACAAAGATGGCTGTGATGTGGAATTGAGGGTATTTATAGTGGCTTAGGAATCGCCTGAATCATCATGAACTGAATAATGCGGGACCGGCTGCAAGCAATCATGAGATCCTCTCACCATTACTTTATTAATAAACTTCACTTATTTCCCTCAGCTAAGATTACAGTTTGACATTGTTCTGATCTCCTAACTATCTGGTTACTTTCATGTGTTGCTGTACTAACATGTGTTTAAATAAACTTGCATTCTCTGTTCATGTTACAAGTTGTTACTGCAAATGTATCACCCATAACACTGGAGTTGCTCTAAACTAATTAACTAATTTTGTAAAAAAACAAATAAAATAATATGACACTGAAACAAAACCAGTCACATTACTCATTCAGTCATTTTCTTTTCAACTTAGTCCCTTTATTAATCTGGGGTCGCCACAGCGGAATGAACCGCCAACTTATCCAGCATATGTTTCACGCAGCGGATGCCCTTCCAGCCGCAACCCATCTCTGGGAAATTTATGGTACATTATCTGAAAGCTAACTGATAAGCTTTCTATTGACGTTCGGTTCGACGATATTTGGACCAGACACAACTATTTGAAAATCTGAGTCATTAAAAAATCCCAAAATAATTGCAAATTAAGTTCTTAGCAACACATTTTCCTTATCACAAGTTAAGTTTTGACACCCAGAAGGACATTTACTAAATATCTAAATGGAAAACTCATGTTAACTTGTTTTCCAGAGATGGGCTGCAGCTGGAAGGGCATCCGCTGCGTAAAACATGTGCTTGATAAGTTGGTGGTTCATGCTGCAGTGGCGACCCCTGATTAATAAAGGGACTAAGCCGAAAAGAAAATGAATGTTTACATGTGATTATTGGCATAAAAGAAAAATCAATAGTTTTGACTCATGCAGTGCAGTGGCTGTTGCCAAAACTGTACCTGTGCATCATAAGAGCTCTGGGGTCACAAATGTGGATTTGCTTCTTATAAACTGAGCCTTTTTTTACTTGTCCTGATAAAACACTGGCACTGGGCTTTTCAAGCATCGAAACAATAACATTGAAATACAGCTAGCATCTACTGTTAAAATCATAAGTTTATTTTTGTCTAAATATTTTGTGTGTTTTCAAATTTAAGTGAGTTTTTCCTTAAATGATCTTGTTTTTGGTCTGAAATGAGTTTGAAAAAACAAAATACTCATCGTCATCTGAAGTCTTTATTTTTTTGCCATGCTATAAACCACTAGATTTTAATATTGTCATACAGAATTACAATTGATATGATCCCTCATTCTTTGATATATTTTTAATAGTTCAGCACAGAGTGAGTGCCACTGATTTACCTGTATTATATTTCCACTAGATAATTGGAAACATTAAAATACTATATGCTTCCCATGTATATATAAAATCACTTTTGTAAATGTACTTTGATGCCCAGATAGCATACGAATGTGGGCCACTTTAGGCTGTTATGCGGCTCTGCTGGTCTTCCTTCAGCCCAGACAAAATGAATGTGAGCCTGAAGTGGCCCAGCTGTATAATGGTAAAGGGGGGACAAAGATTCAAATCCATATATGAGCCATTTAAGGCAAAGATTCGGCACTTATGGCAAAACACAATCTGAATGTGAGCCTAATGTGGCCCATGTGGAAAATGATCAATTTGTCCCAAATGATGGAGGACAGATGCGGGCCACAGTTGGCAAATAGTGGCATAGTCATTTAAGATTAATTCAATTCAATTCAGCTTTATTTGTATAGCACTTTTACAATGTAGATTGTGTCAAAGCAGCTTCACATAAATGGTCATAGTAACTGGAACAGTGTAGTTCAGTTTGTAGTGTTTAAGTTCAGTTTAGTTCAGTTTAGCTCAGTTCAGTGTGATTTAATCATTACTGAGAGTTAATCTGGGTCTAAACCTAAAGTGGCTCACACGTGTAGGTGCAAATGTGGCCCAGTTATCTTAAGACATATGTGGGCCACTTTTGGCAAATATTCAGCACAGTAAGCTCTGACTACTATTGCTGTGAGCCTCATGTGGCCCAGAGAAAATATGGCAAATGTGGCCCAGTTATCCTAAAACAAATGTGGGCCACTTTTGGCACATTCGACACAGTAAGCTCTGGCTAATGTGACTTTGAGCCTAATGTGGCCCAGAGGAGATATGGCAAATGTGGCCCAGTTATCATAAGACATATGTGGACCACATAGACTAAAGTCCCCATCATGGAGAAAAGTGTTTGCTTTAGTTGGGCTCATAGCCCTCAACCTCTTTATATAAATGCTCTTTGCTTGAAAAGTTTATTCATTACAGCAAACAATATGAAGTTAGGCACAACCTGTGAAGAAATAATATAATTCACTGATGTTCACCAATGTTTAATCCGTTATTAGAAGAACCATAATATCATGCTTGCACATGCCACACAATTGTAAAGGTTTATAAGCTAAAACAATTCTATGGTTCAGCTTCTGCTCACAGAGACATCAATAATCAGCGTATGAACCTCAACAACAGTGACAATCGACAAAACGAAAACTCAACAACATCCCGAACAGGAGACTAAAGGTGAAAAAATCAACAACGTCCACATGAACAGCAGAATCAACAGCAGATGATGAACATCAGTAAGCTCTAGAATGTGTTCATACTGCAATGCATGCTGGGATTTTTGCACTTTGCCACACCCAGCAAGTGTGAGGTGTAGGCCAGATCTGGGCCAGGATAAAAGCAAACTGTGGCCCATAATAGGGTCAGTTCTGGTTCATTTGGTTGAATTCTGGCTAATATGTGGTATTGCTTTGGCTTATTTGTGGCCCAGATCTGGCAAACAGGAGTGGACCGCCCTTAGTGCCATCATTCCATTTGGTGTGTGGTCCAGATGTAATTATCTGGTGTGGACCAGATCTGGGCCAGAATAAAAGCAAACTGTGGCCCATGATAGGGTCAGTTCTGGCTCATTTGGTTGAATTCTGGCTAATATGTGGTATTGCTTTGGTTAATTTGTGGCCCAGATCTGACAAACATGGGCGGACCGCCCTTAGTGCCATCATTCCATTCAGTATAAGGTCCAGATGTAATTATCTGGTGTGGACCAGATCTGGGCCAGGATAAAAGCAAATTGTGGCCCATAATAGGGTCAGTTCTGGTTCATTTGGTTGAATTCAGGCTAATATGTGGTATTGCTTTGGCTTATTTGTGGCCCAGATCTGGCAAACAGGAGTGGACCGCCCTTAGTGCCATCATTCCATTTGGTATGTGGTCCAGATGTAATTATCTGGTGTGGACCAGATCTGGGCCAGAATAAAAGCAAACTGTGGCCCATGATAGGGTCAGTTCTGGCTCATTTGGTTGAATTCTGGCTAATATGTGGTATTGCTTTGGTTAATTTGTGGCCCAGATCTGACAAACATGGGCGGACCGCCCTTAGTGCCATCATTCCATTCAGTATAAGGTCCAGATGTAATTATCTGGTGTGGACCAGATCTCGGCCAGGATAAAAGCAAATTGTGGCCCATGATAGGGTCAGTTCTGGTTCATTTGGTTGAATTCTGGCTAATATGTGGTACTGCTTTGGCTTATTTGTGGCCCAGATCTGGCAAACAGGAGTGGACCGCCCCTTAGTGCCATCATTCCATTTGGTATGTGGTCCAGATGTAATTATCTGGTGTGGACCAGATCTGGGCCAGGATAAAAGCAAACTGTGGCCCAGAATAGGGTCAGTCCTGGTTCATTTGGTTGATTTCTGGCTAATATGTGGTATTGCTATGGCTTATTTGTGGCCCAGATCTGACAAACATGAGCGGCCCACACTAGAGCATTCATTCCATTCAGTATGTGGATTTAAGCCGCTTGAATTTTGCTAGCTTGGTGCAGACTCTAAAAATGGGATGAGTATGAGACAAGATTATTTGCCGTCCTATGAAATTAATAATATTGGTATCAATTGTTTACCTAGTACATTTCGAATAATAAAAATGTCTTTTAATTCAAATGTCTTTAACTTCCATTTATACATAATATAACATAAATGGAAAACATGAACAGCATCATATAGGTGAATCAAGGGCATTTATTAATGCAGTGTGTTTATCAGTTTTCCTCTGATCCACAGTAGAGTTTTTTGAAGGAGTGAGGGGGGCACAGAGATGTGTGCAAAGCTTCTCCGGGATTATGAGTGTTAGTAAGTGTCAGTTCTGTGTAAAGTATTTGACTGAACAGAGACTGTGATGATCTGAATGTGTCCTCTGTTCAGAGCCAGTTTCACTGCAGGAGGCAATAAGTCCAGGGTTGGCAACGAGAAACAGCATCAGTGTGGTGGATCAAGCAGAGTAACGGGTTTTACTCTTATGTTAGAGTAAAAGTCAACAAATGTGTGTTTCAAAAGTTAGTTGTGTCCCAAACAACACTCTACGTCCTCTTGAGCACTGCATGTTCAGCATCTGTTAGATCATTTTCCACAATACAAAATAAAGCGATCCTGTTTCAGTGCTGATAGCCCCTCCCCTTCACTATAAGCCCCTCCCCTCCTTTAGCATCAGTCCTTCCTTTTTCCTATGTAGCTCCTCCCTTTCATAGGTAGCCCCTCCCCCTCATCAGTAGCCCCTCCCCTTTTCACTATGTTAGCTGAGCCGTGAGTGTTGATTGCATGATGTATTTCACTCTGCTCTACTTCAACATCATTCACCATCAGAACACTTTGGAGTCATAATGGTAAACCAGAAATTCAAAATCGTTTCTAAGTTTAGGTATAACGGACGCAAAATTAGTGAAATAAATGACCAAACTGTCAAACAGAACCTGTCATGAGTACAACTGTCGTCTTCATTGGAGAATTTTGTTTGCACAATCCAAAATAAATGAAGTCATCTAAATTTAGTGCATATAGCCTAAAACAGCTACTGTCAGTAGCTTCACACCGTAATCAGTAACCCCTCCCCTTAACCAGTAACTCCTCCTCTATCAGTAGCCCCTAACCTTAACCTGTAGCGCCTCCATCTCATCATCAGTTCCTCCCCTTCGCCATCAGCTCCTCCTCTATCATTAGCTCTTCCCCTTTGTCAGTAGCTTCTCACCTTAATCAGTAACCCCTCCCCTTAATCAGTAGCTCCTCCTCTATCATTAGTCACTCCCCTTAACCAGTAGCTCCTCCATCATATCATCCACTCCTTCTCTATCATTAGCTCCTCTCCTTTGCCAGTAGCTCCTCATCTTAATCAGTAGCCCCTCCCCTTCACCATCAGCCCATCCTCTATCATTAGCCCTTCCCCTTAATTGGTAGCCCTTTAATCTCATCATCAGCCCCTCCCCTTCACCATCAACTCCACTTCTATCATTAGCTCCTCCCCTTAATAATCAGCTCCTCCTCTACATCAGTAGCCCCTCCCCTTTACCATCAGCTCCTTCTCTATCATTAGCCCCTCCCCTTTCACCATCAGCTCCTCCTCTATCATTAGCCCTTCCCTTTAATTAGTAGCTCTTCCATTCCTTTATAAGCCCCTCCCCTTCACCATCAGCTGCTCCTCTATCATTAGCTCCTCCCCTTAATCATCAGCTCCTCCTCTACATCGGTAGCCCCTCTCCTTCACCATCAGCTCCTCCCCTATATCAGCAGCTCCTCCCCTTAATCAGTAGCTCTTCCATCTCATCATCAGCCCCTCCTGCTCACCATCAGCTCCTCCTCTATCATTAGCTCCTCCCCTTCGCCAGTAGCTCCTCATCTTAATCAGTAGCCCCTCCCCTTCACCATCAGCCCCTCCTCTATCATTAGCCCTTCCCCTTAATCGGTAGCCCTTTAATCTCTTCATCAGCCCCTCCCCTTCACCATCAACTCCACTTCTATCATTAGCTCCTCCCCTTAATAATCAGCTCCTCCTCTACATCAGTAGCCCCTCACCTTCACCATCAGCTCCTTCTCTATCATTAGCCCCTCCCCTTAATCAGTAGCTCTTCCATCTCATCATCAGCCCCTCCCCTTCACTTTAAGCTCCTCCTCTATAATTAGCTCCTCCCCTTATTCAGTACCTCCTCCATTTCATCAGCCCCTCCCCTTCACCATCAGCTCCTCCTCTATCATTAGCCCTTCCCTTTAATCAGTAGCTCTTCCATTCCTTCATAAGCCCCTCCCCTTCACCATTAGCTACTCCTCTATCATTAGCTCGTCCCCTTTAATCATCAGCTCCTCCTCTACATCGGTAGCCCCTCTCCTTCACCATCAGCTCCTCCCCTATATCAGCAGCTCCTCCCCTTAATCAGTATCTCTTTTATCTCATCATCAGACCCTCCTGCTCACCATCAGCTCCTTCTCTATCATTAGCTCCTCCCCTTCGCCAGTAGCTCCTCATCTTAATCAGTAGCCCCTCCCCTTCACCATCAGCCCCTCCTCTATCATTAGCCCTTCCCCTTAATAGGTAGCCCTTTAATCTCATCATCAGCCCCTCCCCTTCACCATCAGCTCCTCCTCTATCATTAGCCCTTCCCTTTAATTAGTAGCTCTTCCATTCCTTCATAAGCCCCTCCCTTTCACCATCAGCTGCTCCTCTATCATTAGCTCCTCCCCTTAATCAGTAGCTCTTCCATCTCATCATCAGCCCCTCCCCTTCACTTTAAGCTCCTCCTCTATAATTAGCTCCTCCCCTTATTCAGTAGCTCCTCCATCTCATCAGCCCCTCCCCTTCACCATTAGCTACTCCTCTATCATTAGCTCCTCCCCTTAATCATCAGCACCTCCTCTACATTAGTAGCCCCTCTCCACCATCAAGCTCCTCCCCTATATCAGCAGCTCCTCCCCTTAATCAGTAGCTCTTCCATATCATCAATAGCCCCTCCCCTTCATCTTCATTAGCTGCTCCTCTATCATTAGCTCCTCCTCGTCACCCATAGCTCTTCATCTGAATCAGTAGCCCCTCCCCTTCACCATCAGCTCCTCCTCTATATCAGTGGCTCCTCCCTGGCGATGTGAAGTGTGCCTCTTCTTTCGGAGTTATTATTATTTGATCATCAGCATGAACGCACACGATTTATCCTGAAATATGGCGTAGAATAGTGAATAAATACAGGATGTGGGACGCACCTACTGCTTCACATGCTTCTTCTAGAATAAGAGTCATTAATAAACATATTTACAAATAACTGAGAAGATCTGTGCTCAGTGTGTTAGATGTTAGAGCAGTTTTGGGGTTAGGAGTTCTGCAAGTGTCCTGATTGTGTCTGTGTTCAGGAGTAGAAGGTCAGAACGCTCTGATGGTTTCCTCGGACCAGAAGAATCGGAGGCAGATCTTTGGACAGCGTGTCCAGCCAGGACATGTAGAGCGCGCTGGACACCGTCCCCTTTCTGGCCAACGGCATGGTGCTGATGAGACCAAACAAACACAAACATCAGCCAGAGACTTCACATGTGCAGGTCAGTGCATATTCAGTGTGTATTGTATATTTATACAACAGTTCTGTCCGGTTCTCTGATTGGCTAATAGCCATGTGATATTCTGCAATAACAGCACTCTTACAGCCTCTTCACCCTTGTGTATCCCTCCGCCCACATAGAGTGACAGCAGATCAATAAACTCACTAGAGTTTGACTTATATTGCAGCTGCTGGACAACAGCACGGACTGTTGAGCCTTTTTAGGTGAGAATGTAGTTGTTTAGACTGCAACAGTTTCTTTATAAGGACAGTGCCTATTTTAAATATTTATATTTTCAGAGATTCACTGCATTGGCATCCATTATTGGCATCCATCAGTCTATCATACTGAGCTGAGCGAAAATAGTTGGGGTTCCACCACAAGATGGTGACAGAGACCGCATAATAAGACCTTAGAGGAGAAAAAAAGTGACACTCTAAGGCCCAATCCTAATTCTACCCCTTAGCCCTTCCCCTTACCCCTACCCCTTGTTTTGCGCGTGCACGCCAAGGGGTCGGGGAGTCCCAATTCTCTTTAGCTTGAAGGCGTAGGCAGTGGCGTAGCGCAAAATGCAGAGGCCCCCCTGCAGGATACGTCATACGTCAATTTGCATATCACTGACGTCATCACGTTCTACCGTTTCTGTTTGTTTAACAGCCTATGGTTAATAAAGGGGTATTTATAACTGCACTACACTTTATATATGCATGTTTATTTAACTAAATGTATTGCTGTTTGAATACAGCATGTCATTATAGATGTGTAACGTTAGTGAATGTGCAGTAATCTCTCATATGTAATAAACTCAGACAAGTTCAGAATCTGTCACTAAAATATCTGTGATTGTGAACAAGAAAAGAATAAACGGTCCAATTAAATTGTTAAAATAAAGTAGAAGTAGATTGGTTTGACAGTACAAGGGAAATACCTTCACACTGCCTGTGCTAAATCATTTGTCGTCAGTACGCGGAGGGGTGATCTGCTCTCGGGCTGCAGGTGGGAGAGGCGGCTGTACGAGGACTGACTGGGCCGCCTGTCAGTGCTGTGAGGCGGGGGAGGGGCCGGCGGCGTCACACGCAGCTCGTTGCGAAGAGTAGGGACGGTACAGTGTGGACAAATGACAGTCTAAAAAAATCTCCAATAACACACAAAAAAGTCGCTAGATTTGTCGCTGGGGGGGTCTGAAAAGTCGCTAAATCTAGTGACAAAGTCGCTAAGTTGGCAACATTGGCGGCAAGCAATCAGAATGAAGTAGTCCACCGCTTGAGAGATGTTCAGAGAACACAGACCTGTGAACTTTGGTTCCGACCACAGTTGTTCCCAAGAGTTTGATTATTGCGGTTGCCGGATTTTCAATTATTGAAAATCGCAACAACGCGGGGCCCCCTAATCACGCGGAAATGAAAGCCATCAACAGTGCCTTAAATGTTAGCGCGAAATTGCTGTTTTTTCTTTTAATTCAGTATCGTGACGAGTCTAATATAGTGAAAGAATCAGTTTATTAACTCAAGTTTGATAAATGGCATCTAAAATGTGTGTTTGGGAAAGAAAAAATTAGCTAACTAGTGCCATTAACTGAGCTGAAAATGACTCTGATATCCCTATTTATTTTTACAATTCATTCAGAATGGACCTTCGGGTCACCCAGAAGGCAGAGAAGTGATAAATTTGTGTCACTTTATCTTCGCTGCTAAAATATACAGCCAAGTACACAACGTTCCTTTGCAACGCCTAACGATACTTCTGGGTTTCTTCCCACCGCAGCCTCGATTTCGCTTTTGAAAATGGCGGCCGCGTGAAATCAGTCAATGGGCTTTTTACAGTGTCTGCTATAATGTTAATGCTGTTTTCGTATGTTTACAGATGAATATGGCCACTGTGTAAATACACAGTACAGTTATGATCTTATTGCCACATTAGATCATTATGATAACATAATACATGCCTTCAGTGATGTTCTGAAGATAAATACTAAAAAATAGCACAACTGCAGTGGCGTAGCGGACGGGCCCGCAGGGCACGCACCGCGGGGGGGCCCCGCGTGATTAGGGGGCCCCGCGTCGTCGCGATTTTCAATAATTGAAAATCCACCGGCAACCGCAATAATCAAACTCTTGGGAACAACTGTGGTCAGAACCAAAGTTCACAGGTCTGTGTTCTCTAAACACCTCTCAAGCGGTGGACTACTTCATTCTGATTGCTTGCCGCCAATGTTGCCAACTTAGCGACTTTGTCACTAGATTTAGCGACTTTTCAGACCCCCCCAGCGACAAATCTAGCGACTTTTTTGTGTGTTATTGGAGATTTTTTTAGACTGTCATTTGTCCATACCGTATCGTCCCTACTCTTCTCAACGAGCTGCGTGTGACGCCGCCGGCCCCTCCCCCGCCTCACAGCACTGACAGGCGGCCCAGTCAGTCCTCTACAGCAGCCTCTCCCACCTGCAGCCCGAGAGCAGATCACCCCTCCGCGTACCGACGACAAATGATTTAGCACAGGCAGTGTGAAGGTATTTCCCTTGTACAGTCAAACCGATCTACTTCTACTTTATTTTAACAATTTAATTGGACCGTTTATTCTTGTTCACAATCACAGATATTTTAGTGACAGATTCTGAACTTGTCTGAGTTTATTGCATATGAGAGATTACTGCACATTCACTACACATCTATAATGACATGCTGTATTCAAACAGCAATACATTTAGTTAAATAAACATGCATATATAAAGTGTAGTGCAGTTATAAATACCCCTTTATTAACCATAGGCTGTTAAACAAACAGAAACGGTAGAACGTGATGACGTCAGTGATATGCAAATTAGCCTATGACGTATCTCCCCCCCCCTCTTCATCAGGGGGCCCCGTCAGCGATCCCTGCAGGGGGGCCTCCGCATTTTGCGCTACGCCACTGCACAACTGGAATCACTACAGCAGTCGCCATCGTATGATCTCTCATGAAGCATCAGATCGCAAGGACATATGATGACGTGTGCAGGTGGTGTAGTGCTGTCCTAATTCTTAGGGGTACATTTTGAAGCCCTTCCCCTTCACACTCGGTTGTAAGGGCCAAGGGGAAGGGGTACAAAAACAGAATTGGGATTGGGCCTAAGTGGATCTCTCTCTTGTGTATGTTGTGGTGCTGTGTTTATATCTGCTAGTGTTTGCTTTGGCTTTTTCACGATTAATTATTGTGATCTCCCGATTGCAACAGAGGAATACTGCGAAATCTTTGTAGACTGATGGCATTTCATGCTGTTCAGCTGTATAATCTTAAAATGTGAGCAAAATCAGCTGTTTTGTCTTCACTTTAGACATTATGCTAGTGAATCATTCAAACACTAGCTCTGCAGTGATGTTAGTGAATGAGGTTTCTGCTGTTCTGACGTCAGCTGCAGATGTGAATGAATGGCGGAAGAAAGTAGTTCCTCTTATAAAATGATTTTTTAGACTCTCTGTGTTTGATTTTCTTTTTTATACACAAGATTATGCCGTCAAACTGTTGTATAAACGCAATATCACACAAGTAGCAGTGCAATATGGCTGTATATTGTCACTTGTCGAACACTATTCGGCCTGTGGCCTCGAGCCAACGTACCACTCCCATCAGTGTCATATACAGACATGTCACACTGCTACTCGTGTGATATTGCTCATATATTATGTCAGTGCTCTTACATGACGATGAGGTTGGCTGTGCTGGAGTGCTCCTGCAGAAGCTCGTTGAGTCTGATCTGACGATTCGACTATAAACAAAGAACACAAGAAATGACGTCACTGACATGCAGATGCTTTTACACATCAATCTGTACTCACTGAAATTGGCAATGATATGCAGCGCCTGAATGTCTGCAGTACCAATCCTACCAACCCAGGCTCATTCTGATTACCCCCAGCCCCAACCCCCATGTGTACATTTCTGGAGAACGCCAAATATGTCTCTGGAGCTTCGTTTTTCCAATAATATCCAGCTGCAGGCCCACAGAACCGCACACGTTTTAGGCACACACAATCTAGAACACACAATCTAGGCAAACCATATATAGTTACGAAGGATGTTAAAGTTATAACGTCTTTTTGGATATCGTCATCAATATATTTTGATATATATGATTAATAAATATTATACACAATAAACAATAGTGTTCACTTTATTTCGCAAATATTGCGATTGAGACGGCCGAATGGGGAGCAATGTTTCCGATCGCCATTCAATATAATAGAGTGAACAGTTTTTAATCAGTCATATAGCTGATCAGTCATTATTATCTGACAATAATATAGCAGATACTCGTTTGCTGGCCTTGCGGAATGATCTCATTTGGACAGGTTTAATTTATATAATGCATTAATTTATGATGAAGGAAATAATAGCAAGTTAATATAGGCAATAATACATTATATGTAATAAAAATCTTTTTACATGTAACAAATGTATAACACTATATTAATATTTTACTCAAGCAATTTAATAGTGTTTATTAGCTTAATTTTTTTAATAACCTTTTAATTAATGATTTCCCACATTTAATACTGTAGTAATTTAATAACTACAGTAATAGGAAACAAATAGGAACAAATTAACTATTAATAAAAAAATCACAAGTGTATATACACACACGCACGCACGCACGCACGCACGCACGCACGCACACACGCACGCACACACACACGCACGCACGCACACACACACACAAACACACACACACACATATATATACATATACATATACATACATATATATATAACAGCTTTAACAGTGACAGTTTAGTAAAAGATAGTAGTTTATATATAAACTTCTAATTATAATCAATTAAGATAATCAGTTTATAACTATATTTATTGTTTAAATGGTTAACTATAGTAGGCTAATTTATTTTAAAGTAATATATTATTGTTTGTTTTTTACATTTTATAACAAAGTGATTTTAACCAAGTATGATAATATTAAGAGCTTGAATTAGTTTATTACACTTAATCCAACAATTAGACGGTCTATTATGTTTTCTTTGTGTATATGGACACATTAGTAAAGTCATAAGTGTCTTTAACCAGTTATTTTTATTTACATAATTTAAGTTCAAAAACTGCAGAGATGTTAAAATGATCGTCACGATATAATAATAATCATAATGACTGAAATGGGAAACCATATTTGTGAAATTCAATCGGTGGCGATAATGCTAAAGAGTTAGTTACCATATATGATTTGCCTAGATTGTGTGTCCTAGATTGCGTGTGCCTCAAACGTGTGTGGTTCTGCGGGCCTGCAACTGGATATATCTCCGTTTTTTTGCAGTTTTTTGTTTTCGAGAATCCTCTAGAGGCTGCTTTGTGCGCTTTTTTAGCTCTTAAATTTCTGCCATGCTCGCCTGCTGTTCTCATGTAAATCCACTAGAGGCCGCTGTTGTCCGACTGACTGACTGATCAACCGATCCCCATCCCCTTCCCTAAACCCAACCAACAGTGTTTTGAAAAGCAATCAAGAAAAAAAAAACCCTCGTCTGAATTTTACCATGTTTTCAGATTTTACCACATTCTCACCCTGTTATGTACTTGTTTATTTAAAGTTTTGGCTTGTGTTTAAGTCTAGCTGCTTTCTGGAACCATTCTTCGCTGGACTGTCGCCTCGGTTAACTCCTCTCTGCATCCCAAGTCCACAGACGTACGTGTCGAGCCACTGGACAAACTGGTAACAGCGGAAAGGCATGCAGGTAAGCGTAAAAAGGAACGGCATCATACCGCCCTGTAGCATTGGTTTTAAAGGTAAAATGCAGCCATACGCACCTCTGGCTACATAATTGGCGATCTCCAGAAATGTATACAGGGCTACATTTTCACAATGAGCCTGTGTTGACTCCCACACTTGCACCACCAGTTAGAATCGGTGTAATATCCAACCATGCCCATTGAAGATACGTACCCAGGGCTACATTCATGAGAACTGACAAATATGTACCCTGGACTACTTTGTCTTGTAGTTTTTGTTTTCACACATCCACTAGAGCAGGGCTATTCAATTGGCGGTCCCCGGGCCGAATCCTGCCCCCGAGGCACTTTGTTCCGGCCCTCCAAACAGTGTGACCAAGACATCAAAAATTAAATTTAGTTCAGTCGACAAACGGCCGCTATGGTTATGAAGTGACGTGCGTCTGTTCAATAACAGCACGAGCTGCAGTTAAAGGCTGCACAGAGCGCGAGTCATCATAAGCGAGTGGTGCGGGCAGCCGAAAACATGTCTGTAGAAAAGGCGATTAGTACAATGCACTGATATCGTTAATATGGATGCAACGATTAGCCGATTCCACTATTAACTGCGCTTTAATTCGTCACAGTTTATTAATCGTAAAGTCTTCTCTAAGCCGCATTTCTGTTAAACAGAATGAAACGAAACTGCTGCAAAATGCCAAGTCGTCTGTGCGCCAGTTTTAAGTTTGAAGTACACCGAGGCTAATACACACGCACACAGGATTAACTATAGCAGCGGCCGTTCCCACATCACGTCTTTTCTGCTTGTAAGTTTGTTATTTCTAATGTAAGAATATATGACAATATGCGGGCGCCAGCGGAGCGATGCACTTGCGTCTTTCTGGGCGCACGCAGTAGGAAACATTTCACGGTGAGAGTGGTGCGTGCCTTCCAGTGCAATGTAAACAAAAGATCTGCTAGACGAGTTATTATTAAAATGATTATGTATGCATGAATGCAGATGACAACAGTTAATCTAAATAGCTACTTCCCAAATATAAAGCTTGAATTTACAGTAGACGTGATAACAGTGAAAGCATGATTATTCTTCAGACTATATAATCGTACAACCAAAATCTAGAACTGTTGCATCACTAATTGTAATGCAGTTCATAATACAACACATGAATGTGTCTGAATGTAGAAGAAGCCTACTTCAGCAATCAACTGCTTTTGTTGTGCTCTGATATGCAACATTCGAATGTTTGTAAAAAAAAAAAGGCTAATGTACAATGTCACTGATATAATGTAGTTTCAAAATACAATATATTGACATTTTAATGTAGAAAAAGCCAACATGGGTGTCTTAAGAAGCAAATATACAGCATATGGGCTCTTATATGCTGTTGTGTCATCACTCATACAGCAAGTCATACCTCTCCGGCCCTTCGTTTGAGATGCTTTTCATGAACCGGCCCCCATGACAAACTAATTGATAAGCCCTGCACTAGACGGTGCCTTGTGTATTTTTTTAAACCTCAAATACATTACTGAGGCACGTTTTCTCATACATACAGACCAATTGGGGAAGTTTGTGCCTCCACTGTTTCCACTGGCTTGCTTGGTTTGGGTCGTGTGGAGCTGCGCATTGATGGATTTGCTCTTCAGTGTTTGGACTTTCAGCAGTGAATATTAAACCACGCTGGACTGAACTGAACTCTGAACACTGAACTGACAGCTTCAGTTTACTAGAACTGCTGTGTTCAGCTGCCGCCACACAATCTACACTGTAGAAGCGCTGGAGGAATACGGATGAATACATCAACATACTGAAATTAAAGTCTCAGCAACTTCCGGTTCACACAGACTTTAAGTACAGTAATGGTTTGCTTTGAAGCTCATAACAGCAGGAGTGGCAGTGATGTGTGTCTGACCTTTGACCTGTAGAGCTCCAGCTCGTTATCTGTGATCCTCCAGGGCTCGTCAGCTTTCAGCTTCTCCGCCGCCTCCTGCTCCATATCATCCTCCCTCAGTCTGTAGGGCTCCGTCATCTCCTGAAACACCTGCTTACTGAAATACAGCAGAACAGATGAGTCTCTCACACACACACACACACATACACAAAGCCTTACACACACACACACACTCACTTGTGTTTCTTGGGCTTGATGTTGATGTCTCCGAGAACGGTGATGTCCGAGAAGTCAATCCTGAACTTACTGAGTAACGCCGCCATTCTGTGGCAGAGCAGAGATTTAGTGGCTTTCAGTGTGATCGCAGTATAAAAAAAGCACACACAAACGACTATGTTGTGTTAATAAACAGGATAAATCAAGCAAAACATAAAAAATATCAAATTTAGTTGTGTTTTTTTTTTGTAATAACTGATTTGAATGTAAATGTATTTTCTTTTTTTTATCTTAAAGATGTTCGGTGACCAAACTCTGGATAAAACTGATTGGGTTAAGGTTGGCACGGTGGCTCAGAGGTTAGCACTGACGCCGCACAACTAAAAGGTCAGAAGGAATGCGCTAAATTGTGTGTGAATGAATGTGTATGGGTGTTTCCCAGTGCTGGGTTGCAGCTAGAAGGGTAATCCGCTATGTAAAATAAATGCTGGAATAGTTGTCGGTTTGTTCCTATGTGGCGACCCCTGGTAAATAAGGGACTAAGCTGAAGGAAAATGAATGAGTGTTTAACCGTGCTCTTGGTGATTCATAGTACAAGCCATTGGTCGTTGCTCGTTTTTAAGAATAAAAAATAACATTTATATCAAACGTCCAAATTAATTCCCAGATGATACACCGAGCTCTGATGAAGCAAAAGCATCAGTCTGTGCAAGAAATTGAACATCATTTACAATATTATTTGCTTCACAGCCAGATAATACTCACGCTCTGCGGTCGTGGTCGATCCTGTTTATCTTTCCTCCAATAAACACACGAATCTTACAGTCGCGCCATTTCTTTTTATTGGTGAGCAAATAAGGAATCAAAAGCGTCAAACCTACAACAAAGATCAATCACAGCGTCATTCACCGACATTAACATTATGACCAACATTTAAATCAAACCAATGTTTTAAAAAAGTGAACTCTATAGTGAAGTGAACTCTACAGTGAAGTGAACTCTACAGTGAAGTGAACTCTACAGTGAAGTGAACTCTACAGTCAAGTGAACTCTACAGTGAAGTGAACTCTATAGTGAAGTGAACTCTACAGTGAAGTGAACTCTACAGTGAAGTGAACTCTATAGTGAGGTGAACTCTATAGTGAAGTGAACTCTACAGTGAAGTGAACTCTACAGTGAAGTGAACTCTATAGTGAGGTGAACTCTATAGTGAAGTGATCTCTGTAGTGAAGGGAACTCTACCGTCAAGTGAACTCTATAGTGAAGTAAACTCTATAGTGAAGTGAACTCTATAGTGAAGTGAACTCTACAGTGAAGTGAACTCTATAGTGAAGTGAACTCTACAGTGAAGTGAACTCTACAGTGAAGTGAACTCTACAGTCAAGTGAACTCTACAGTGAAGTGAACTCTACAGTCAAGTGAACTCTACAGTGAAGTGAACTCTACAGTGAAGTGAACTCTACAGTGAAGTGAACTCTATAGTGAAGTGAACTCTACAGTGAAGTGAACTCTACAGTGAAGTGAACTCTACAGTGAAGTGAACTCTATAGTGAAGTGAACTCTACAGTGAAGTGAACTCTACAGTGAAGTGAACTCTACAGTCAAGTGAACTCTACAGTGAAGTGAACTCTACAGTCAAGTGAACTCTACAGTGAAGTGAACTCTACAGTCAAGTGAACTCTACAGTGAAGTGAACTCTACAGTCAAGTGAACTCTACAGTGAAGTGAACTCTACAGTGAAGTGAACTCTATAGTGAAGTGAACTCTATAGTGAAGTGAACTCTACAGTGAAGTGAACTCTACAGTGAAGTGAACCCTACAGTAAAGTGAACTCTACAGTGAAGTGAACTCTACAGTGAAGTGAACTCTATAGTGAAGTGAACTCTATAGTGAAGTGAACTCTACAATGAAGTGAACTCTACAGTCAAGTGAACTCTACAGTGAAGTGAACTCTACAGTCAAGTGAACTCTATAGTGAAGTGAACTCTATAGTGAAGTGAACTCTACAGTGAAGTGAACTCTACAGTGAAGTGAACCCTACAGTAAAGTGAACCCTACAGTAAAGTGAACTCTACAGTGAAGTGAACTCTACAGTGAAGTGAACTCTACAGTCAAGTGAACTCTACAGTGAAGTGAACTCTACAGTGAAGTGAACCCTACAGTAAAGTGAACCCTACAGTAAAGTGAACTCTATAGTGAAGTGAACTCTATAGTGAAGTGAACTCTACAGTAAAGTGAACTCTACAGTGAAGTGAACTCTATAGTGAAGTGAACTCTACAGTCAAGTGAACTCTACAGTGAAGTGAACTCTACAGTGAAGTGAACTCTATAGTGAAGTGAACTCTACAGTCAAGTGAACTCTACAGTGAAGTGAAATGTGAATCTGACCTCCATCATCGAACAGCCACCACACATCGATGGTTCCTTTGCTCTGCTTCTTCTGGAACTGCTGACTGGCGGACAGGAGCTTCTCATCCGCAGCGCTGAGCTTCAGCTGAGGCTTCTTACTGTCTGATAGGCAACACATTTACATTTAGTCATATACAGTAGCAGACGCTTTTGTCCACAGCGATTTACAAATGAGGAGGCACTCAGTGATTCAACAAGAAGAGGTACTGATCATACAGAGGAACTGTGTGTGCTCAGAGGATTCAGTGCTAGAGGAAGGAGAGGGAAGGGGTAGGGTTTTTTAGAGAGAGAGAGTGTGTCTACAGGTGATTTGTCAAGCCCACTCACCTGTGTAAAGCATTTATTCATTCATTCATTCATTCATTCATTCATTCATTTATTCATTTTCTTTTCAGCTTAGTCCCTTTTATTAATCAGGAGTCGCCACAGCGGAATGAACCGCCAACTTATCCAGCATATTTTTTTACACAGCAGATGCCCTCCCAGCTGCAACCCATTTCTGGGAAACATCCACACACATATTCACACTCATACACAACGATCAATTTAGCCTGTATCCAATTCCCCTATAGCCCATGTGTTTGGACTGTGGGGGAAACCGGAGCACCCAGAGGAAACCTACGCAAATGCAGGGAGAACATGCAAACTCCACACAGAAATGCCAACTGACCCTGTGTGAAGCACACTTCATAAATGTTTTCTGTGCATTTTTCTAACATTGAGTGATTGTAAACTTGTGTCTGGTGTCAGAAATCAGTCTGAAAACTCAATTTTGACTCATGTTTTCTCAAAATAAAACAATATATTTAATTCTCTATAATTGTGTCTATTGAGTTTTTTGTATTTGGACTATTCACAAGACTAAGGCTGCTTTCACACCTAGACTTTTGTTTGGGACCCTGTCTCATTTGCCCAGTTAGCGCGGTTTGTTTGGCATATGTGAATCCAGCAATCATGCTTGGATCTGCGCCAAAACAATCAGTCCAAGATCGCTTGATTGAGATGGTCTCGGCTCGATTAAAACAAACTATGGAGCGGATCGATTGTAGTGAGAAAGCGATACGATCTGAGCTTGGTTAAATCACAGTGTTTTATGGAGATGTAATAGGCATACGGCTATATGAAGAGAGAATTATGAGCAGGGCAGGAGGTCATTACAGACATCCCAAGTCTCCTGGAAGTTTCGGGAGTCTCCGGCAAATGCACAGAGACTCCCGGATGCCCGCAAACGAGTGATAATCTCCCGATAATCGCACGTCTCCCTCCTGGTCCTCAAATTCGTTGCGCACCCTTCTCATCCCTCTCCACCGCATCCCTCCTCGCTCTTCAGACACGTCGCGTGCACCCTGTCAAACAACACCAAACCACCACCATCCCCCTGACAGCTGAGTGGGACTCTGCAAAATAAACCCTGACACTCTGAGCAATGTGAGGAGAGTTTACTCACAAGCGACTTGTTTTAGCTATTTTGATCCATTTAGAAAACTTTGCAGTGTAAAAGCGAACCACACCAAGAGCAAAGAGCAACACTGTAACCATTTTAATCCCTGTTTCAGAACAAGAGAATCGATTCACATGTGTGAAAGCACCTTAAAAGGGCTCTATTTTAACAAAGTCTGCAGAGGCCGCAAAGTCTGCAGGTCATGGTGCAAAAGCATTAAGGCCGTGTCTGAATCCACTTTTTCTATTTTAAGTACGGATAAATTCGCTCTGTGCCCTGGTGCATGGTCTAACAGGGCTTTGCTGATTCTCTTCATGAGTTCTGGGTGTGTTTTGAGCATAACCTGCATTAAACCAGTCAGAGTCTCGTCTCTCATTCCCTTAAAGAGTCAGTTGCGTTGCTCCATGGTGCATTTGCTATTTACATGGCGACTCTGTAGGTGTATAAACAATGTTTCACTAGCGAGAAAACAGTTAAACAGAGCATCTGCAGCGCGACGATAAAGAATGAGCCTCCTCCATTCAGCCTCTTTACTTTACTCTTTTACTTTGGTGGAGAGAGGAAACGGTGGAAACTCACTCCACTGAACACATCCATTAGCCCACATGTTTAATCTCCTTTGATAAGCTCAAAGATTTGCTTCAAAACTATGTCTAAATTCAGCTCTAATCTCCAGCAGAGGAATAAATGAACAATAATAATGAAGTGTGATCAGAAAACTGAGTGATATCCAAACACACGTCCTGTTCTTATCCTCAGACGTCTCCAAAACCCCACAGCTGGACACATCTACACTTGTGTTTATTATAAATGTGCAGATAATCAATAATACTGATCATAATAATCACATTATACAGATGCAGCCCGTCATCAATAAACTGAAGAAGGCATGGAGGCAGTGCTGTTTATATTGATGGAGGAAATCCTCATTTCTGGGTCATTTTAATCCTTTAATTGTTCATCTGTAAAGATATCTGTGTGTTGCTGATCATCCTGTGTGTAGTCAGCAGTGTGTAAGTGTTTAAGACACATAACTAACACGCTCTGCTGGAGTTTAGAGCAGCTGTTAGTTGGTCAGTGGTGCTGTTGGTCTATTTCAGTTCTTCAGAATAGCAGCGCTCCAACAATGCGCCGTAACACACCTCCTCTATAGACCAGCACAGCCATGAGTGCACAGAGCGCCACAGATGGATTTGCTATTTAAACAACATGAAGCAAAACGTGAAAATTACCAAACCAGGCTCATTCTGGAAACGTGGTCCCGCGGACGTTTCTGGAGACAGTGAAATACGTCCCGGGAGGTACGTATTTGTGCAGTTTTTGTTTTTGGGAATCTGCGAGAGGCCGCTGTGCTCCCTTTTCCACATCTCGAACGCCATTTTTGCCCGCGCTGTTCCCACGTAAAGCCACCGGAGGCCACTGTCAAGCGACCGTCTGTCCGACTGACTAAATGATTGACTGGGCAACCGGCCAATCGGCCAACACACCCTCCTCCTCCTCCTTCCCTAAACACAACCGGTTTTACCGACTGACCCGTCCTTGGCCCGCCCGCTCCCTCGCTTCCCTAAACCCAAGCAATGATTTACAAAAGCCGTCCAGAAAAAGAAAAGCCCTCGTCTGATTTTGACCGGGTATTCGAATTTTACCACATTCTCGCCCTGTTACGAACTCGTTCACTTTATTTTTTGGATTCAGTTTTTGTATTACCTGATTTCTGGAACCGCTCTTCCCCGGACACAAACCGCTGTTGTCACGATCGGCTACCCTTCAGGTCTCCACTCCGCCAAGCTAACTGGACAAACCGGTTGCGGCCAGGGCTGGAGCAAGCTAAACTGCCGCTCTAGGCAAAGGACGATCACGCCGCCCTCAATCCACAAGTTGAAAACGAAAGTGGCCCGGTTGTCAAAGTGAAGAG